AGTTGGGGTGTAGAGCCCCAACCGCCTCCCGGGTATGTCCGCTTCTTTATTTTGTCTTTGGTGAAGTAACTCTGGGGAGTCGTAGTGGCTCCCCCCAGAAAACCAGCATTGAATATAATGAAACACCATTTTTTGGGTGAGTCCCAGAGGCTCCTGGCAACCCTCCTTCCCTCCCTCCGGTCAGCATTTTTTTCATGTATTTTGATAACCAGCCTCAGAACTGAAGGTGTGGATTGCCGGTGTGGGGGTCTGGAGTTCCCAATCTCCCTCCCGGGAAGGGGGGAGCTGTGCAGACATACGGCGCGCCTCGTGTGACGTCATGCTTGTTTGCTCGTTTTCAGTTGGGGAGTTCTGTCCACTCGTTTGTCTATTTTTGTTGTTTTTAACCAGAATAGGGGTTTGTTTTGTAGCGCTTACCTTTCAAGGTGCCTGTCCCGGTCGATAGCAGATATAGAATGCTCCACATCACACGTACATTTCTATAGGCCATTGCTCTTCATGCCTCTCTGAGGGGGCCAGGTTTTGGCTCGTGGTCCCTGGTAGGCCTCGAACTCTACCCACATTGACTGATGCCAAAGTTAGGGATATTCATATCAGTCTGGATAGCTCCGGGAAGCCTCCGAGACTCATCCAGAAAATGGCATTTCATTACATATAATGCTGGTAAATTGTTCATTGCTGTTTGCTGAGTCTTTGGTGGTGCATTTTCCGCAGGCGGCTTCGTCTTGTTGCTGCCCTATATCAGACTTGTTGGTTCTCTGAGGTGGCCGTGCTGGTCCTGCCCAGAAGGGTCATGCCAGGGTTCAGGGTTCCATTTGGTCATTGTAAGTCAGTAGTGCCAGATTTGGGGATGGCCCTTATTGCAGAGCTGTCGGCGTCTGGGTTAGGCTTTTGTAGGGGTCGTCGGCCCATTCGTGGTTCGCCCTGTAGTCGGGGCAATGGGGGAGAGGCGCCCGTTGTTTGCTCTTGCCTGGTCCCACAATTTGTGGGCGTTTCGGGTTGTTTCCGCTGGCCTGCGGTGGCACTGGGTCTCCTCCTGGGTCTCCTCCTCCTCCTCCTTCCGGGGGGGGGGGGGGGGGGTCAGGGCTGGCAGGGCGGGTCTCTTACCCTGTGTGCTGTCTGGTCATCCTTGAGTGGGTTCGCTTGGGCATTGTCCAAATGACCGTGTCCCTCAGGTGGGTTTTCTGACCATTTTCAGTTCCGAAGCGGGACTGAAAATTTTGCAATTCATACTGGGCTTGTCCCATCTGAACCCCTGAATTTTTTGCCTTTCCTTTCAGATGACCACTCTGTCTCAGGTCCGGCCACTTTTGGCGCCGGGTGCTTGGATGGTGTGCCTGGACCTCCAGAATGCGTATTGGCACATCCCGATTCATCCAGTGTTCAGGGACTGGCTCTTTTTTTGTCATGGGGCAATAGGCTTACCGCTTTCATTCCCTTCCATTCAGTTTGAATCTGGCACCTCGCGTGTTCACGTGCCTTACCTGGGTCGTGGTGACCCATTTGCATCTGTTAGGGGTTTCAGGTTCTCGCTTATCTTGACAACTGGCTGTTCTGGGCTTCCAGCCAGTCTGCATGTCTGCTCGCCAGGGATTTTGTTCTTTCCCAGCATGCTGGATTCGGGTTCTTTGTGAACTGGCGGAAGTCCCATTTGGTTCCCTCTCGGGTTCGGACTTGGCTGGGTCTTGGGTGGGACTCTCGGACAGCTTCCTTGTCTCTCCTCTTGTAGTGTTGTTGCGGCTGTGGTCCTGCTTTCAACTGTTTTTGGGGAGCACCCAAGTCACATGTCGGTTGTTTGAGTGGCTGTGTGGGAGTCTGCACTTCACCGTGCTGGTCTACCCGTCATGTCGGATCTGGCTTTGGCGGCTGTTCTGGTTCCTTCGGAGACATCCCTTCTGCCACTCTCACGATAGCTAGGTCCAGACCCTGGGAGCCTTGTGTCGGCTGCTGTATCACTGTCTTCCTCTTCGGGTTTTACAGGGTTCTGTACTGTGGCGCCTCCCCGAATCTTCGCTCGATGTGTTCGCAGATGCCTTGTCTCTTGGCTCTCTTTTTGTAACCGGTGCTCACCAGGCCGGCTAGAGTCAGTGGGGTCCATCCTTCCATCAGGCTCACAGCACGGCACGGGAGTTTGTGGCGGTGTGGCATTCGTTTCAGAGGATTCGTGTTGATTACGGAACAACTATCCGTCTCTATTCGGATGGCTTCCCTGATGCTCATTGTCAGAACTTCTGGGGTTCGATGTGGTCCTTGGCTCTTTAGGGCTGGCTGCTTTGGGTGACTCACCTGCTGAGTTCTCGGGGTTTGGCAGTTCATGTTCAGGGGATGTCAAACGTCCTGGCAGATGACCTGTCAAGGTTCATTCCTCTATCCACAGAATGGATGGTCGACGCCAACTTGTTCAGTTGGTTCGGCCGGACATATGGCCATCCACAGGTAGACCTCTTTGCGTCGGTATGGTTTTGGTGTCTGCTGATATATATGGCGCCCTTACCTGTGAAGCCGTCGTGGTTGACACCTTTCGGCAGAACTGGTCGAGGTGGGAAGAGGGACGTTCTTTGAATCTGGTATTAATGCCTCTTTCTTTGACTTTAGTTGGTATTATTGCCTCATTTTTTGACTAGCTGGTATTATTGCCTCATCCTTTGACGAGAGGCAAAGAACGAGGCAACGAGGCTGGTGTTATTGCCTCAGTATGTGACTAGCTAGTTAATGCCGCAGTATAAGACTGGCTGGTTAATGCCTCAGAAATTAATGCCTCGGGTTTCCCTAGGAACCTGTACCTCTTTTCCCCCTGGTCCAGCTGTTGCTTTGTGTCCTGGCTCGTTTGGATACTTCTAGGCGAGAGTAGTTCTGTTGGCATCTTGGTGGCCAGCCCAGCCTTGGTTTTAGGCACTGCTTGTTCAGTGTCCGAACCCAAGATGTTGTCCGTGACTCTGCTTCTTTCAGCAGATCGTTCCGGTCAGTTACCAGGCTGGTTCAGACTTCTCTTCCACTCTTTGTGTCTGGTCTTTTTGATGCACTTTTTGATGCATTATATCACCACTGTATAATGATCAGGTGATTTCGTTGCTGGTGTTCCACTTGAGAGTTTTGTCTCAGCGACAGTATGAAGTTTCCTGGCATTCATTCCACCATTTTCTCTCTCCTTTGTAGGTTGTCGTCTATTTCTAATTGGGTTGTCTTGTCTTTTCTTTCTTGACTTTTTCAGGAGCATCATTTCATGCCAAAACTGTCACCTCGTATTGTGCGCAGCTGGCAGAGCTGCTCCAACTTGTCTTTGGGGTGGATGTCACTTCTGCCCCATTCTGTAAGCTTTTTCATGCTTTGTTTCACCTCTGGCCTGCTCACGCTTCGCCTGAGCCATCCTGATCCTTGGACAGGGTGCTCTTTTATCTCTCTCCTTCTTGGTTTGTAGTGACCTCTTTGGTTCAAGATTATTTTTCCAAGGCTCTTTCTGTTGGCATTGGGCTCTAGGGGGTTGGGATGGTGAACTTTATGCTCTCCTCCGTAGCAGGCGTTTCTGCTCCTTCGGTCTTGGTAGTCGGTTTGTTCGATTGCAGCCATCACCTTATTTTCTGGCGAAAAATGAGATGGCGACTTTCCGGAGGGGGTCCCTTGGGTCATTTATGCTTGGTTGGTCAGGTCGGCGGTGAATCATGTGTTGTATCCGGTTGCAGCTCTTGGTCGTTACCTGTGTGCCTCCGTTTAATCTGGTTTCCCTCTTTCCCTGTTCTAGGGCTTCCAGGTTATCCGCAGGGTCATTAAGTCTAGCCAGCCTGTGGTCTATCCTCATGCCCATGACGTTCGTAAGTTTGCTGCTTTGACTGACGTCTTTGGCAATATATCCTTTGCTGACATTCGGACACTGGGATTTTGGAGGCATGTCCTGGCCGCGCTTTATCTCGTCAACATTCCTGATCCAAGTTGTTCGTGTGTGGCTTTGGGTACCAGGTTGCAGCCAGTTGTCTCGACTTTGAGTTGAGGAGAGAGTGGCGCCTCCCGGTTAAGTTCTTTTCCTTATCTTTGGTTAGGTGGCTCTAGGGATCCAAGGAGACTTCCCTCAGAAAACCAGCATTGAATGTAGTGAAATGCCATTTTCTGTTTTAGCCCTGGAGGCTCCCTGACACCTTCCCTCCCACCGGTCGATGGTTTTTCGCATGGATTTTGATGCTCAGCCTCCAAACTGGAGTTGTTAGATAGCTGGCATGGGGAAATCCGGAGCTGCTAAACCTTGTTTAAAGCTTTAGCAGAGTCCATGTAAACTAGATCTACCAGAAGTCCTTTGTCTGAATAGCTGGTTACTGTTTCCAAAAATGTGAGGTTTTATGTCTATAAAATGCTGTACTGGGATACTAATCCTGAACTTGGACACTTCTTATAGGCCTGTCTTGGAACCCAGTTTCTAAATTTATCACTCAAACATCAGTTTATAAATAGCTCTTAAAAATGTTAAATCATTTACTAAATCTCTCTAACAACTAGAAATGTTAACTTCTCATTTAGTTAGAAGTATTACCATGTTAAAGTTGTAAATTTATCTCCTAATTATTATGTTAAGGCCGCAACAATATGTATTAGTGGCTTTATGTAACGTACATTTCTTACCTACAAATTCTCCACTGTATCATGTATCAAATGTATGTATGTATTATATAAATAAAAATCGTATTATTATAAGTAGCTAGATCTAGGAAGCCAATGAATGGCTCTCCAGGAGGAGGCATTTAATAGTTAAATTTAGTGTTGGATTTATTTAGAAGATTAGGTCGGTAAAATTTTAATGAAAGATCATATATACAAAATGGAATAGGAAGAGATTGTACTCATAAAGATAATGTTTATTGTAAGGTAAGAAAATGCATCATACAATTTGTTACTTTAAAAATATATAAAAATAAACAGATACTATACAATCAATAAATTATTATGAATATAGAATCCTGCATTATATCTTATTTAATGTTATGAATTCATAAGTGTAATATTATTTGAAATAGATTTCAGAGTAAGCTGGAAGAACAACAACAGAATATTAATGTCATTAAAGGGTTTAAGCCAACTTTTGGAGAACTGTGTGTTCTGAAGATGAAAAGTGCCCCTTATTATGCTCGGGTTAAGCTACTGAAGCTGGAAAATGATCAAGCAGAGGTAGGCTAAGCTTTATCAGCTAACATCATTTATGTATGTGTGTAAATACCAATATATATGCATGTAGCCATGCCTATTTGATCCTATAAAAACAGTTGTGTACACAGGCATGTAAATGTATTTATATGAGCAGTACAGTAATTAATTCAGTGTAACTACATAAACTTATCTATGTGATGTGAGCTACTTTTGTGGTGTCCTGTCTTCTCTGTATGACACTGAAATTGCTAATGATTATGGCATCCACTACTGTTTTACATAAAATGTAAACAGTTCACTTAATACAATTTCACTTAAATTGTAAACCTTTTCATTTAAAATGTAAACAGCTCTGTTTGCATAAAGAGAATATGTGAACATTTTCTTGGGACTTTTGTCTTTTTAGCTTAAGTCTATGACCTCTTGTTCTGAAAGTTGTTAACTTCGTCTATCCCGTTAACAATTTTATTTGGTATCATATCCCCTCATTTCCTTCTATCTACAAGGTATTGCATGTTAACCCCTAAAGGCTGTGCATTGGTATTTTTAACAATCTGGAAGTTATTTCATAGCATGTACTGGCAGCTGTTCTATTTTGTTAATGTGCTTTCTGGGACAGCTTTCCTATGCTGCTCCCAAGCAATTTACCATAAGTTCTTCAAACCCAGGTACCACACTAGGCTGTAATGAATCGCAAGTGCCTACTCAAGTCGAGACAAGAATCAGGCCCCTTAATAGAAGCATAGGAAATTGGAGATACAATTTCACCTCATAACTGTAGGAAACCCACCAGAAAAGTAGAATACACCAAAACAAGAAATTAGTTGGATAGCATTTGCATCCCTTATTTGAATTATTCAAACATAGTTCCTCTCCCTCACTGTCAGATGGCAGCCCTGGCAACTTGAGGGTCCCGAACAGCTATCTCAGTCATTCATGCGTCTGCTTCACTGCTGCCCAGTCTTCCTGGTTCTGCTGACACTGGCTTCTTAGCTAATGGTACAGCAGAGCCTTTGCTTGTTTACTGCTTCACATTATTTGCTTTATACTAATGTACAGTGTGTTCCTTGATAAATTGTTAATCTCATCTATTTTATTTTATTTTATTTTATTTATTTTATTTATATATATACAGGAAGGTACATTGGGTTTGTGAGAATACATTGGATAGTACAGTAATTACATTCTTGTAAAGCCACTAGTACGCGCAGCGTTTCGGGCAGGTCCTTAATCTAGCAGATAATTTTAAGTAGGTAATTTCAATCAGAATTGATAAATGAAAGATACATTACAAGAGAAAAATGAGATGAGAGAGATAAGTAAGTATATTAAAGCACATTGTTATATTAAGCTCTGATTGATTACATTGACAGCTTGATTAGTAATTTAAACAAGATTAATAGACACCATACAGCAGATTGACAGCACATATAAGACAGCAATGATCACAATGGTAAAGATGTTCAGAATGGGTACATAAAGATTGGGAGACTGGGTAGCAAAAGATACAGATAAACAAGATTTATAAACACCATACAATATATGTAACCATACCATACAATAAATGCCATACAATAAACACCATACAATAAATGCTTGATCTTTGTAGGACCAGTGTTGCTTTCTCTGGCTGCTTGAAGCACTACCTCTGCCTTTGGTCAGTTACCTTTCTGAGATAGGTTGAGAGTTAACCTCTTCAAGGACCCACCCAGGGATGTGCAGGTGCTTTGGCTCCTCTGCAGAGCCTAATGGTTGGGGGGGTGAACTGTAGGTTGCTTGATTCTTGGAATGTGTGTGCTGGCTCTGTGGCTTCAGTATTGACTTGTGGCTTCCCTCACTACATCTTCCCATCTTCTCACTACATATTTCTGGGGGAAACCATAGGGGCTCCCCCAGAAAACCAGCATTGAATGTAATGAAACGCCATTTTCTGGGTGAGTCCTGGAGGCTGCCTGGCAACCCTCCCTCCCTCCGGTCGGCGTTTTTTCGCGTATTTTGATATCTAGCCTCAGAACTGGGGTGTGGATTGCCGGCGCGGGGATCTATGGCTCCCCCTTTCCCCTCTCGGGAAGGGGGGGGGGAGCTGTGCAGACATGTGATGCGGCTCGTATGACGTCATGTTCACTTGCTCGTTTTCAACTGGGGAGTTCTGTCCACTCGTTTGTCTATTTTCGGTGTTTTAACCAGAATAGGGGTTTGTTTTGGGGCATGTATCTTTCTGGGTGCCTGTCCCAGTCGATGGCAGATACAGAATGATCCAAAATCACATGTGCATTTCTATACGCCATTGCACCTCGTGTCTCTCTGAAGGGGCCAGGTTCTGGCCATGGTCCCCGGTAAGCCTAGAACTCCACCCACATTGATGCCAAAGTTACGGATATCCTTATCAGCCTGGATAGCTCCGGGGAGCCATTGAGGCTCCCCCCCAGAAAAATTATGACTTTCGTAAGACCAAAATTTGAACATGCAGCAGTTATGTGGTGATATGTCATAAGAACATATTGGTAAACTAGAAAAGGTGTAAAGGCATGCTACTAAATGGCTTCCAGAGCTGAAAATGAGCTACAATGAGACACTAGAGATGTTAGCTATGCCAATAGCTAGAAGATAGAAATAAATAAATATTATGATCACTGAATACAAAATAGTAACAAGAATTTAAAAAATTGACAGGCATTCTTGAAACCTGCAAGTTCAAGAACAAGTGGTCGTAGATTCAAACTAAGGAATAAAGATACCAAACAAACTTCTGAAAATTTTCTTTTGTAAACAGTGGTAGACTGTTGGAACAAGTTAAGTGAGAAGGTGGTGGATGCCAAAACCATAAGTAGTTTAAAAGCATCATATGACAAAGAGTACTGGGAAGATGCGACACCATAAGCATAGCTCTCATCATGTAACTGCTCTTAGGTTATTACATGTGTAATTCACATCAGCCTTAGGAGCCTATTGGAGATTACAGGCTAAAACCTGTTTAATTTACAAAGGTGCAGGGAGCAGGAATTTAGAGAATCGCCCTCACTGAAACTGCTAACCCCCCAGAGATGAAGCTAAGCATAACAGGCAACTGCGAGGTTAACAGAGGAAACAAGCAATGCAACAAACAACTTGAATAAGATCCACTCAGTAGTTAGGTCCCCCTCCCATCCACAGTTACAACTGGCCATGGTCAGGTGGCAGCACAACAGGACCTGCTATATCTCTGTGTCAACAATCACCAATCGTAGATTTTTCTGTGGAGAGCCCCTTCGGCTCCCTGGAGAATATACAGGGCTGATGTGTATATATTAGATGGTGCCAACAGTCAGTTAATGGAGTTCTATGCCTACTGGGGACCACGAGCTAGAACCTGGTCCCCCACCTCAGAGAGGCATGAGGAGCAATGGCCTATAGACACCCCCATGTAGTTGGAAGCAGTCTATATTTGCCATGTACTTGGTCAGGAACCCAGAAAGGTAGGCATCCCAAAACAAACTACAACTGGTTAAAAATTGTCAACCGAAAGTCAAACGAGCAGGCAGAAATTCCCAATCGGGAAACAAGCAAACAAGCATGAAGTCACTACAGCCACTGCACCGCTGTCTTCGCAGCATCCCCCCCCCCTCCTCACTGGGAGGGGAAAGGAGGGGCCCCAGACCTCCCGCACTGGCTACCCAACCCCAGTTTTAAGACTGTTGTGTTGGGCGGAGGTCGATCAACTGTGGCTCCAATCCTTGAGCAGCACTATACCTTGGGGTGTTGTGCTGCAGTGGTGGAGGTGTGCAAGCCAGGTGTACTTCCAGAAGTATTGGGGCTGCATGCACCTAGAGTCACCTTCCCTAGGTGCCCTGTAAGTACCTCCCTTGCAGTTTGGGGTTCCCATCCACAAACTGTTCGGGAACTTCCTCCACAGGGTTCTTTTACTGCTTGGTGATTGCCCACCCTTGGGGTCAGCTGGAGGTTTCCTACCACTGTTTGGTCTTGGGTAGGAGATAGTATCATCACTGGCAGAGGCACAAGGTACTATGTAGCTGTCTTTTAATACACAAAGTGGCCGGTTCTGTTAATCCTGGAGATGTTGTGCTACTGCGGAGTGTTTATTTTCTTTTGTTTTGTTTTGCCTGGTGGGGTCTGCCTGGTGTGGCTGTAGGACCACTTTTATTATTTGGGATGCCCTCTGCTAGGTCCCTGTGATTACACACATTGCAGGGGTTCAGCTTTTGGTGGTTTGGTAATTTTGAGATAACCGGTTAGCAGTACCTTGCCTGGGCTTCCCTAAGCAGTCAACCTAATAGCCCTGGAAACCCCTCATTGGAACGCATTGGTCCAATAACTGCATCCTTTGAGTCCCATCTCGCTTCATGCAAGTTTGAAGATTGCTCTGTCGCCTTGTCTCAGGATGATACTCTGCCATGCTGCCTGTTGGGTCAAAGACACCTTTGACCCCAGAGTCCTGCAAATGGTGTTCCTTGCATGTCGCCCAGTTCACTACTATTGATACTCAGGTGCAGGCAGCTTCAGCATTGCACGCGAGGTTTAACACTTTCGCGAAACGGCGTTTGAAAAAAAACTTTGCCCAACTGAAATGAGCGTTTCGGCGATCGAGTGGCAACATTTAAAAGTGTATACTCTTTTGACTGTCCTGACATTAATTTTCGATGTACGTATTTCATTTTTGTACTGATGTGTTCGCAATAGAATGTTCTAGAAGAACATAAATATAAAATGTCACCAAAACATAAGTTAGATCAGCAACAAATAAAAAACTACGTCGATGACTAGCCGTGAGCGCCAGACAGCAACGAAATGTTTCTACTATCTTCAGGGTTCTCAACTCCACACTTGTCCTACAGGATTAATTTTGATATCACTGAAATCGCAATAAAATTCTCTACACGGACATATGCATATAAATATAGAATCAATGTTGCAACCGACCCACAAGAGTGTGGGAAGTGGCCAAAGTGTTACCCGCGGCGGCATATCGGCGAAACCCGCATTGAAAAGTGTATATTCAATTCACTGTCCTGACATTATTTTTC